TACATAGAAGTTTAATTAGATCTGCCTGGTTTTCACATTTTAATCTACATGTAACTACTGGCATTCAGGCTTACCTGTAACGGCATATACCAGTCTCTTCACTTGGATCTCAATGTCCATTTGCTTTTCAATGCATGTGGTTATCTCTTCCTCTAAGTAGGGGTTGACACGATGCATCTATGTTTGGTCCCAAATTCATGCACTGTGATTTTGTCACCACTGTTGTTGAAAGCTTCTCTTGGCCAATCTTTGAGCAGTTCTATTCTGTCTTCTTCCCTGCAAATATGTATTGCAATACCACCTCCTGGTAAAGAGTATGCATATGCTAATTTAACATTGGGCTTATATTTATTTATTTCAGATTTTATTTTTGAGCTCAGAATGAATTCTCCTGGTTTGTTAATATTGTCAATTATCAATATATTTTTGCTTTTAGATTGGACTTATTTTCATTCATGTTCAAAACTGGGTCGGTTTCTACTACCATATTTTCCCTATATATACATATAGGGCATTTATATGTATTAAGTTTTTCTTTGTGAAAATATCGCAGATTTATTTTGTTAGTGAGGCGCAGGCTCCGTGCCACCATTGGTCACACTTGTTACAGCAGATCAAATAGTCTATATGTTTTTTACTTCTGGTCTTTTTTCCAGGTGTACATAAAATTGGGGGGGGTTCTTTTTTACATGGGCATTGGTGTTTATTTATAGCGTTGTTCTCCATGGAATTTACTTGCATCTATCATCCCCTTAAATGCAGTTATTAGTTTGAACTTTGATATCCTTTGGTCGTCATCGTTTTTTGGTCAATTCTAAAATATAAAATTTCTTTAATTCAGAAAGTCCCATATTTCCCAAGATGGCGTCCTTTGTCCACGTTTTTGAAAGGAGTTTTTGACCCTAATCTTCTCTCTTTTCTCGTTGTGGTATTCGTCTTGAGCATTTCCACCGTTGCTTCCTTATATCTTAAGGCTTTTATCATATATATATTATGTTATTTCCGTTGTAATTGGAAGTTATCCGAGAAAATGTTCCCAGAAATTTATTTGACCAGCAATGCTAGAGACCCCGTACAAGCATTTCTATTCGATTTTTCTAGTAATTTCAAGTAATCCAACGAACACGTCTTCCTGGTCTACAAACTTCTACTCTAAATGATGAATTCCTACCAAATTGAATGGTTTCAAAATGGCGGAACTGCATTTTGAAAGCTGTCACATGTCATGTTGTCCTCTAGTGATGTACACCAATATCCGTGAAAGGCCAGTAAGGTAACCCCTACCCCTTGAAATCATACATCCCCTTCAAGGCGCACTACCTCAGTTTTTGATGCCTTCGCTTAAAAAAGTCTTAAAGAATATCCTCATGGATCGCCATTGTTGTGATCACAGATACGGGAACAAGACTTCATCCCCCTCCCACTCACTATGTATTAGGTACAAAAAAGACCAGCTCGTATCTCGGGAAATCTAAGCCTCTAATTGCTCAGTCATATCTCCGTCACTGACTAGTGTCATGCATTATCTTTTGTCCCAATGCAAGGTTAAGACATTTAATCAAATTTATGGTAACTCACCAATTCTTAAATGAGCATAATTGTGCTGAATTTGCATTTGCAGCCAGCTATAATGTCAGACATTACGTCATTTTTGTCCAATTTTTGACGTTTTTACGACAGTATGCAATATCTCACAAATGACAGTGTTTGTTTCAATTTCAATTCTAATTGATAAAAATATATTCATTACGATTTTTAAAATGACATTTAAATTTATTTTTCTCCGGGACAAATGTTTTTAACTTCTGCACTGTGGTCCCCATGCCATGGCTTCTAGCCAAGTAATTTGGTTAGAGACTCGAGTAACTATCATAATGATGATGATCATCAATCCTTGTAGGCCTCCTAAAAATGGCTCTCGCCTATGTAAGAATATGTGCAATGTAAATTACTACAAGAATTTATACCTTTTTAATTCCCTGTCTTGACCATGGGACCACCCCCATTTTCTAATATTCTCTGTTATGTAGAGAATATAAGAGGGAGGGGCTTACTTTGCTCGAGTCTATAGCCAATAGTCTAGATGCCAAGAGAAATAATCTTGATTTACATCATTGAATATTCAAAATTCAGTCAAAGTGATATCATATTTGAAATCTACATATGAAATTACATCCTCTCTCTAGAAATGTGTTTTTTACTTTACTCGAGTCTATAGCCAATGAGAATAGGGTAATAATAGGCTGTAATGTGGATAGATGTCGCGACTCTTGGAGTTTCCCGGTGCTTGTATTAGAAATAATAAATTAATTGCATATATCGTGATACAGTTTTTGTTCAGTTTATCATTGATACGTAATTAATGACCCTTAAAGTCGCATGCCATCATAATTATTTATAGTTCTACAAAATATAATCATGGGCTTTCAAGAGATCTTGAGAGCTGTCAGTTTCTTGATCACCAACCACGGTACACAGAAGAGTACACTTCTCCTTAGACATATCCGTCATCCCTTCTTTTAAACATCTCCCTCCGAAAACTAGAAAGTTAAAAACATAACTAAATCACTGGAGTGTGTAGGATTGCAACGAACATCATTTGTTGTTGCTGCATTAGTTTCTTCATTCATTGTCTTATTTCTTTGTCTTGATTTGATTGTGATGTTAGTTATCTTTCTTAAGGGACCACAGACTTGAAACTGCACGTAGGTGGGTTAAACGTTTTGATCTGGCCGGAAAACTCTCCCCTTCCCCTTACTGATGTTCTTATGTTGATCTGTCTTCTTAGTTTACCCTTTTTGCGGAGAATATACTGTTTCATATACAGACGGTCGTCCACTAGGTCTTGCCCATGATGATATATATAAATGATAATGAGAGATGATGTGAAATGAGGAGGATGGTCATTCTAAGATGTTATCGATATAATTTGAAGATAGTTGAAGGCATTTTGTATTCAGTTCACTATTTAAATTTTCATCTTCATAAAGTATAAATTCTATATTTTGCTTTCTGGTTTTTCCAAAATAGCACATAATATCAAGATTATCTAACTTTAGGATGTTCTGTATGTAATCATTTCTATGTATGGCGGTTAGAGGGCAGTCGAGTAAAAGATGAATCTTATCTTGATCTCGGTGGCCGCAGGGGCAAGAAGGATCTATGATGTTGTTGAAATTATGTCTAAAAAAAGTCACTTTTAAGGGCAAGGTCGCTTCTTATTTTATTAAGTTTAGTTTCAGAAGACCTTTTCAAATTAAGATTTTTTGTTAAAATATTCCTTTTATGAAATGTATATTTCTTATTATAAAATTGCTAGGGTTGGCGATGTTTTATTTCAGTTGAAAGATTTTTCCAAATGGAGATAGGCTTTATGGCTGGTGAATTTAGGTATTTTACAGGTGCTCTCACGGATAAAACATATTCTCTTCTGGAGCGGAGCTCCCTTTCGACACCAGGATTGGACAGTTTTTCATATATAGAGACTACATAAGAGGGGGTCAAATTTGATCGGACTTTGAACATGTGAATACTTTGTTTTTCTTCTCTTCTCTCCGCTAGGGTTTTCCAGTTTAGACATTTATATAATTTTTGCTTGCATGTACCATAAATCGCCCCAGAAACTATAAGGGCTGCTCTATAATGGAGTTTGTCTAGTTGTTCCAGAGCACCTTGCGACGCCCAACCATAGATTAAAGAGCCGTATTCGATTTTAGAGAGAATGAAAGAAGTGTACATTGTTTCAAGATGTTTTGAGCTTACTCTTCAATGCTGATAGGGGATTTAGTAGTTTGTCAATTTTTGCTCGGACTTGTTTATATGAGTTTTAAAGTTTAAGTTTTTATCAAGAGTTAACGCCTAAATGTTTATGTGAATCGACTTGGTCAATTGAATTGTTATTAAGTGTCAAATGTGGATATGGCCTTTCATAGACGGTTTCTTTACAAAATATTATTTCTTTTGATTTCGAAGGCTTGAAGTTCATTTTCCAAGTTTGGGACCATTTAAAAATATTGTCAAGATCTTTTTGGAGGATTTCATGAGTGTTCTGAATTTGATTATCTCTAGGTACAGGTAAGTAGATGGAGGTGTTGTCTGCATAGATGTAAGATGTTGAGTCAATTACCTCCGATAAATCATTTTTATATGATAAGAAAAGAATCAGCCCAATTTGGCTCCCTTGAGGCACCCCGCTGTTTATGTAATTGTCTTCTGATAAATTTGATAAGATTCTGTTTACTCTAGTTTGAACTTTTCGATTTTTAAGATATGAGCTTATGAGATTCAAAGAGTCAGCACCAAAACCATATGATTTTAGTTTATGAGTTAAAAGGGCATGCGGGACTTTGTCGAAGGCTGATTCTACGTCAAGGAAAATTCCTCTGACGTCACAGTTGCGGTCAAAAGATTCATTAATAAAATTCGTTATTGCTATAAGTTGGAAGTCGGTGCTGTGACTGGGTAAAAAACAGATTGGTTATTATAAAGTAAATTGTTTTCAAGGAGATGGGTCAAAATCCGATTTTGGATGACTTTCTCAAATACTTTGGATATTGTATTTAATAAAGAAACTGGACGGTAATTTGCATTATCTGAACATGCTCCTTTATTTTTGAAAATAGGACATGTAGTGGCGAGTTTCCATATCTCTGGAAAGCATTGTTCATTTAAAATTCTATTAAAAAGCAATGATAGCGGTAAATCAATCATTGACGCTATCATAAGAAGCATCCTATTTGTGATACCATCGGGTCCTTCCTTTTTGGAGGGGTTAAGATCTAGTAAGAGAGTTCTTACTTCCTAAAACTACTTCCGCTATTGTTGTCAAGGGAGTACCACCAACCTCACCGTTTTGATCCTTGGCACCCTCTTATCTTTACTTTTATACCTCTCATGTGATTTAATTGAAAACATTCTCATTTCATTTAATTGAAAACATTCTCATTTCATTTAATTGAAAACATTCTCATTTCATTTAATTGAAAACATTCTCATTTCAGGCTTTGTGAGACATCTTTACAGTCATGAGGTGCTTGGTGTTGAGGCTTTCAAGAAACAAAAAGCTATCTTACAAGACAAAATGGGATACATGAAAGGTAAGGTATTTATTACAACCTTGGGATCAACTATATTCACCTTTCCACAAAGTCAGCTCATGAATATTATAATGAGCCGCTTAACAATCTGTGACGTCAATGGGTTAAACTTTTCCAGCGTAAAGACAAATGCAATTGAGTTTACATGAAAATCCTCTGTTAATTGCTGTGTATTTTACCACTTCAAACAGGTAAGTTATCAAAAAAAACTACTGACAGTTTGTCATGAAACATCACATTGACATATATTACACCATCCAAGCAGTTTGATTATTCAATTTAGGTTCATAATGAGGAAAATTTTTTAGATCCACTACCGATCAGTCCATGACAGTCAGTAATCCCAACCAAGAAGTATAGACAGCGACTGAATGTGAACAACAGGCATTGGCATTAGTTAAACATCTATTTAAAACGGCTCTCATAGTTAATCGTCGAGGTTATTTGATGAATGATCTGTTTAAAATTGAAAACACTTGCTTCTTATTCATTAAATCATTGACTTCTCCCCCACTATTAAATTTGCTAAACACGATTAATCCTATGTATTTCTGCAATGTTATACTTTTTGCATGCGTAAACAGGTTTAGAGATGTGCATGTTCTTCATTCAGATTCAGAATCTTCCTGGAAAATCTTGAGATACGCAGAGGCAACCACAATGCCACTCATTGATTTTATATAAAAATTACCAGTGAGAAGCTTTCAGAAAGAGAGCGTATATTGTATAATAAAAGCATATGTCATAAAATATCATTGTATGTACTGATGTACAATTGTTAACATCGCTGATCATTGATGACATCGAGCCTTAATAAACATTGAAATGTAATACTACAACCGCCATCGTATACGTACTATGAACAAATTTTCTTTTTAATAAGCCCATGGGCATTCTCGATCCCAGGCGACGTTTTGTGGATGAAAGTTATTATCCCATTGAACGAAATTCGGAGGGATATAGGGAACGCCTCCGTCCATCCATCCGTCCGTCCATCCGTCCGGGCAATAACTCAAATACTGTTGACCCGATTTTATTCATATTTTGTACACACATACCCAATGGGAGTAGAAGTTCTGCTCGAAAACCGATTTTCAAAATGGCCTCTTATTTAAAAATGGTGGCCATTTTAGTGCCGATTTTACAGTTATTTAGGTACTGCACATAAAACTGTAATATCAATATGTTTTAAATGTAAAAAAGTTATATAAGACAATGATTAAGCGAGAAATGTAAATAAAGAAGAAATATATGGCAGCCATCTTGAAAAATGGCTGCATTTGCACGTCATTTTACGATTTTTGCTGTAACTTTAAGCTGTAACTTTAACTTTAAGCACTGTAACTGTAACTTTAAGCATAGGCACAATGTCAAATGACATTTTGAGTAGTAGGTGGCCATTTTGAAAAATGGCCACCATTTTTACGTGTGTTATTTAACATTTTTTATTATTATATACCCAATATGTAACACTAATCCTGATTGGTCAATACCTAGTCACGTGTTCCAAAATAGATTTACTATTTCCCTCGGAAAATTATATTCCCTCAAATGTGACGTCAGCGGGAATATACATTTGAACTATTGCCCGCTGACGTCACGATTGCAACTTCTATTACCCTTGGAAACATCTGCGCATCATCACTGCCCAGACGAAAAACAGAAAAATGGAGGATGAGCACAAACACAAATCAACTCCGTTTACCATGACAGACGTGCGTGAACGATACAGTATAAGCAACGTGTATAAAGTTCCCTAAGCTAAATACGTCTGTGTAATTTCAAGTGTTATGATAATCTATTCCGCGTGTTAAACGCGATTGAATTTGTCAAGTGAGAGTCTCAGAGGCAAAAGTTTCTGTTGAGCATCTGATGACGTCACGGCTTAAAATGCTAACAATGGACCCGGGGAGGGGGCTTTCTAAGCCTTTTTGGCATTCGCAGAGAAAACGGGACAAGAGTCAGTATAGGGAATATAATAAAACAAATAGTGACTGCCTAATTTCGAGCAATAGTGTAAATGATTTCCCCTTGGGAATATCCTCTACAATTCCCTCAGCCTGCGGCTTCGGGAATAGTACATTGTAGAGGATATTCCCTCGGGGAAATAATTTACACTATTGCCCTCAATGGCAGTCACTATTTGTATACTGTTAGTCAAAAAGTAGTGAAGCGATTTTGTTCATATTTGGTATGTTCATATTTGATATATACTCAGGAGCCTTGCACACTGTCTCATGACACTTCGCGAAGTAGGCGGTCATTTTAAAAAATGGCTGTCAGTTTTACATTTTTTACTAGAACTCGAAAAGTATTGGAGCAATTTTGTTCATATTTGATATGTGAATACTTTAAGCATGGCACATTGTCTAATAAAACTTTGGGGAGTTCATATTTGATATGTGAATACTTTAAGCATGGCACATTGTCTAATAAAACTTTGGGGAGTAGTCGGCCATTTTGAAAAATGGCCACCATTTTTATGTGTGTTATTTTACATTTTTTATTATAACTCAAAAAGTAATACAGCGATTTTGTTCATATTTGATATGTGAATACTCATAAGGATTGCATACTGTCTTATGAAATTTTGGGTAGTTTCTGTTCGATGGGATTCACTACGCTTTGGCATTGCCGTTGTTCTGGTTTAGCTAGGCTTAAATTACATTTAAGCCTCAGCATCACATTAACTAATTAAAAATTCGCTGACCACTTTTCAGACAAGCACCTCATATATTCTTAGACCCTGGGGTATGTGCTTAAGGTTGAGAAAGTCAAATTCCATGACTTTTACATTTTCAGTAGAACACCCCCAGCAACAGGAGTTAAGCGTGTATATGTGAATGACAAACTGCTGTCAGTGGGTTAGGTACGAGTTTTAGACACTACATTAATTTATCTTGACATTGAGGTGCACAGCCGCACTTTTGAGCATGGTAATACAAGTTTTTATATCCTTAGCATCAGACGGGCTTTCGAAAAATCTGTTATCTAATTTCTCTATTATTGAATGGATATGTGTTTCTGCTAACATTTTAACATGTTGCAGAACGATAAAAAAACACAAAACGACCGCTCAATTCCACTTATTATTTAACAGAAGGTAAAAATGTACAATGCCTAAATTTTTTGTAAGGGTTGTAAGACATTGGAACAACCGCCATATTTAAAATGAAAATATCACTAAACAGAGCTTTGCGGATGTCAGAACAAAAGAAGTGTCTGATGTGTTTTTATTTCCCCACCACATAGTGTGGGGCCATATTGTCATCCTAGGCGCATCCGTCCGTCCGTCTGGTTGTCTGTCTGTCTGTCCGTACGTACGTCCGGCAGTTTTCTCCAAAACCGCTACAGGTATCACCTTCAAATTAACTCTATAGCTACTTCCTGTCGGCAATTTTGAGGTGAAATGCTAAAATCCTTGTCTGCAAACTTTAAGAAAAACGGCTTCACAGTTGCTTTTAAAACTTGAACATCTTGTTCAGCTCACTTCATTCTACATCTGATTAGGTTTTGAACCTGTTAGCTCAGTCATGTCAGCCATTTAGAATGTCTTAAGAAAAGTTAGCGCGCAATAATATTTTTATCATATTGAATGGTGTTTTTGAGTTTTCATACTTAAACTATTAGTAGCTTTATAAATAATTTCAGTTGTACTTTGTTGAGAAAGCCTATGTTATTGTTAACAGTAGTTATATGTGATAATTTTGTAAAAGGAAATCAGCAAAAACTCATTATCACTTTTTTATTGTCGGCCATTTTGGGTTTTTTCCGTCCTAAAATCTTGTCTGTAAAGTCTTGTCTACATGATTTCAGGTGAACCGTTTGGTAGATCAATTCCAAATTTTCAGGGATGATTCTTAGAATGAAAATCTAGATCTGATTAGTTTTTTTGGCGTTCTCGGTAAATGTCAAGGCAGCCATTTTGGATTTTCCGTCCTAAAATCTTGTTTGTAAAGTCTTGTCTACGTATTTCCAGGTGAACCGTTTGGTAGATCAATTTCAAATTTTCAGGGATGATTCTTAGTCACGCGGTACTAACTCAACGCCCCGCAAAACCGTTAATTTGAATTTCAAACCTACCCTTTCTTAGGAAAATCAATGATTGTGAGTCTCACAGTACACCGTTTTCCTTCAAACGTGTTCCATTAAAACCTTCACAGATATACCTTTCACTCGAGACATTGTTTTTGAGTACAGAATCACTCGTTTTAGCGGCGTTTTGGTCACCAGATGTGAGAAGATGCAAATCTTCAGAGATTTCAACCAAAAGCCTCGATATGTCGCCAGTTCTTTTATTATTCTCCCCTATATGTTGCACAAGGACTCCCATTACAACCCTCCATCTCTGCATCAACATATTTATTACATTAAACGCAGCAATTTCCAAAAGTCCTATGCATCTGTTTGAAATTGATCAAGACGCCTCGTTCTCTTCCACAACGCCCCGTTGGATCTATACACCTTATCTAGATACTGACTGGACTGCGGGGCATTTTGGAAGACAACGGGCGTTTTGGTCAATTTCGAACAGTTGTCGTAGGATTTTTCAAAATTCATGTAATAAATATGTTGATGCAGCGATGAAGGGTTGTAATGGAAGTCCTTGCGCAGAATATGGGGGAGATTGATAGAAGATCTGGCGAGATATCAAGAATTATGGTTGAAATCTCTGAGGATTTGCAACTTCTCACATCTGGAGACCAAAACGCCGCCGAAGGTTTTAATGGAACAAGTTTGAGGAAAATGGTATAGTGTGAGACTCGCAATCATTGATTTTCCAAAGATAGGGTAGATTTGAAATTCAAATTAACGGTTTTGCGGGGCGTTTTGGTTTCGATACGCCCCGTCGAGTTCGTACCGCGTGTTAGTATGAAAATCTAGATCTGATTAGTTTTTTGGCGTTCTGGGTAAATGTCAAGGCAGCCATTTTGGATTTGAAATTTTCAGGGATGATTCTTAGTATGAAAATCTAGATCTGATTAGTTTTTTGGCATTTTGGATAAATGTCAAGGCAGCCTTTTTGGATTTTCCGTCTTAAAATCTTGCCTGTAAAGTCTTGTCTACGTGTTTTTGGGTGAACCGTTTGGGAGATCAATTTCTAATTTTCAGAGATGATTCTTAGTATGAAAATCTAAATTTGGTTAGTTTTTTGGCATTCTGGGTAAATGTCAAGGCAGCCATTTTGGATCTTCTGTCCTAAAATCTTGTCTGTAAAGTCTTGTTTAACTGTTTGACGGATCAATTTCAAATTTTCAGGGGTGGTTCTTAGTATGAAAATCTAGATCTAACTAATTTTTGGGGATTCTGGCCTCTGGGTAAATTTTAAGGCAGCCATTTTGGATTTTCCATCCTCAAATTGTGTCAGTAAAGTCTTGTCTACTCATTTTCAGGATAACCATTTGACAGGATCACCCATTGGTGGGGACATTTTGTACACATTTGTGTTCTTGTCTAAAACAATATAGAGAAGAGTATTATAAGTTATTTAATGATTTGAAGTGCAATACAGGATACATTCTGCTCAAGAAATTCCGTATTGGAACAGGACGAAGTCGAGTGCCAATACAGAATATCGAGACATGTCGAAGTGTAATACAAGATATATTCTGCTTGAGAAATTCTGTATTGGAACAAGACGAAGTCGAGTGCCAATACAGAATATCAAGACGGAATATCTCCTGTATTGCACTTCGAATCATCCAATAACGTTTTTATTGAGTGATCTTCTGTATTGCTACTGAGATTGTCCCCTCCGTACCAATATTTTCTGTATTGGGACGGAGATAATCAACGGGGACAATCTCAGTAGCAATACAGTTTGGTACAGCACAAGAACTGACCAATCAGAAGACCTCGTTTTACAGATCATACGAAAAATATGTTTATTTCAAATTATATTGTTACCTTTCAAAAGATGACCATTAAATTGACAACGTGTAAAATTTTCAGAATTTTTTGATGACTGGTAATGCAATGTTTGACATATGTATATTTCAGATAAATTCATCGACAGATTAAGGGAAAACGTTGAAGATGGGAACGCAACCATATTTTCTGAAGATATTAAATCTATCCTCCACCTAGCTGATACAGAGGCTGAGTTTGAGTTAGCATGGAGAGCTATTAAAAGGTACAAATCAGCATTTAAAAATTATGAACCATCATTATTGTTTGAATGATCATTTTGAGGCAATTATATTTCTATAAAGGAAATCAAAGAATCAATAGACAACAATTTGTATCATATACAAATAGTATGATATACAAATATGTATATACATAATTAATTTTATTTATTCAAAGTAACAATGCAACATTTATTCATGAATACAACAAAACTTGTCAAATCCAAACACCACTGGGACGGCTCTAAATGGTGGATTAGCAGGCGTTCACATTGCAAGGTTGACATGAAAGTCTATGGCAGATTGAAAAATTGGACTGATTATTACATTCACATCTAGAGGTGTTCAGATTAGATAGAGAAGGGTTTGGATGTACAGGTTTTACTGTAGTGTATCCAATTAAATTGAATCTGAGATTGTAATACTTCAATAGGTACAATGATCAGATGTTGGCTAGCAGTCTCCCACTACCTACCTTTAGGTTTGGCCCTGTAGTAATGAGAATGCTCTATACTGCTGGTTATTCTGACTGGGCCCTGGAACTGGCCACTGATCCAGTGAGTAGATAATATTATAAGTAACATGTAGATATGACTTGGCCGGGGCTAACATTGTTATCAATGAAATTATATGAAACAAAAAGCCATAAGGGGTGTTACCAGGATTGAAAAATAGGCAAGACATATTTGAGTTAAAGAATATTAAAACAGGAGAGCTGTGATTGGCCAAATTAGAGCACAGGTGTTCAAATTTATAGTTTATATGGTTGTGAAATGTTGATTATGACAGATATGTGCATAGAATTACCAATATACATGTACATGTACACATGTAGCTTAAATGGAACACTTTATAGATTCCTAAATAAATCCAAATAATACAAGTACAATCACAATAGTGGAAGACACCCCAAGGAGCATATGATCCACGTTATATTAAACAAAAAATATTTACAAGTAGCAAAAACTCATACAAGAAATCAGTGCGCATTAGAATTAAATATTGACACTAAATATTTCACATTCGGTTGGTCCCATCCTCGTCTACCCACGCTATAAAAGTGAATTTTTCACGCCAGAGATTTGTCTCCAGAAAAGTTAGACTTTAAATAAGTGATGTAAATAAGTCCTAATATCCTAATCAGCAATTTTATAATATTAACACAGTTATTATCTGGGATATGGTGAGATTATCAAGTTCTTATAAACAAGTAGGGATCTTTACTATGATCTAATACATGTAATTATATTCATGTAACCTTCAACTTTTTCGTGGACAGAGATTGGTGTTTGGCATCTTTAACATGGCAACTGTAACAAATGGGGAATGGTGAAATTTTGCATGTTAATGCGTTGTTAAAAATGAGTTCAACTTATGTGTTTCAGCAATATAAGATGTTTGTGAACCAGCTTAGTACATACACAGTACTTCTTGATCTACTATATGAGCAAGCTCGCTATCTAGATGCTCTTGAAGTATACTTCGCTATGATTAAAGATCCAGTAGCAGGTGTGAGAAACCCATATGATGCCACACTTATTGCATTAGCTTGCTGTTATAAAATGGTTTGTAATTCTAAGCCAAAATTATCACTTTTGTATAGTGATTGTCTTGTTTGTAAATTGAGTCTTAGTTGCCTTAAATAGACACTGCTCAACTTTTCAAAAGATGGAGAGATTTTATGTAAGAACAGCATATATTTTTTAGCGGACAGTATTTTTAGTTCTGATTGATTTTTGAACATGTCGAAAAATAGTTAACTGCTCATCAAATTGATTATGTATTGTACACTGTAAATATTATGTATATATTTTGTCGTTCATTTTAAATTTAAAAAAAAAATAATAAAAAAAAATAAGATATTCACGAGATAAAGACAACACTCTTCACCCAAGACATGTAAGATGAACTCAATCCTATGAGAAAACACTCAGCAGAATCAAATAGATGTCAACAACAGGGGAAAGGCTACAAGACAACCTAGGTTCATTAGACAATGCATGACATAACTTTCATTAATTTTGTAGATACACTTAATTTGGCTCCCGTTTTAATTTGACGGATTGGCGAATTAAAAAAAATCTGCCAAATTAAAAAATCCGTCAAGCTTCAGTTTGGAATTTTTGTCCAATGCACTTCAGAAATTAAACTTCAGTCCTGAATCCGCTAAATTAAATAACCGCGCGCCAATATTTGAAATTGAGCAAATCCGTCAAATTAAGTAGTGTCAAAATAAGTGTATCTACAGTATTTCATTGGTTAATACATGTGTATGATTGTTTATCTTCAGAATTCTAAGGAGGCATATGACAACCTGTTGTCAATCCTTGAAATTGCTCGAGAACGAGAAATTAATATTCTCAGTAGAGGACTACAGTTTGCTGCTGCTTTAGCTTTAGAACAGGTACTTCTTAGTAATTGGGAGTTTAAATTGATTCAAATGTAGTTATGATCAAAATAGGGCTATCGATGGGTAGTTATATTTACTTTCATGGGTTAGAATGTATGGTGAGATGCTTTCTGAAATGTATTTTGATTTATATTTAGCAAACCTGTTCTGAAGATTAATGTAAGTGTTGTATTTATTCCAGGGCCACACTAATGTAGCATTTGAAATCTTAGCAGGGAGTAATTCTAGGCCATCCCAAGCCACTGTTAACATGAGGGTGAGTACATGATTGTGTTTTATCCAATGACAAGTGAAGTTTCAGGTACATAACAGCGGGATATAGAATTGATATGCTGGGGGAATCAGGACATATATATGATATCTCCAGCTGTATATCTCCAAATCCAATACTGTATTCCCGGGAAAATGTTTTTGTTCAGTGTAGAAACAGTCAATTTGTTAGAATATCTTGCTTAGGAAAACTGTCAAAATGGATACGGCAGATGATAGTTTTTTTCGAAAATAATGAGAATGGGAACACTTTCAAGAAAATGAACCTGGATGTTAAAACATTCATTCAGCATTTCATGTTACAGGCCATGATATACTTCAAGTTGGGTAGGATAGATGATGCCCTAGCCATAATGCAGGTGCCTCTACAGCAAGACATGCCAGAACAATACAGACATCGTCATCAGATCTTTCCAAAAACTGTAAGAAACTTAACCATAAACTAATAAATCATCACTTATATAACATGTAGGTTTACCAGTGTTTCAAAATGTGATGTACTATAAGTTATTACGTGTTTCATCATGTGATATGGGAAATATTCCATGAAAGTTAAAACTGCTTCATCTTCAACCAAGTGGAATATTTCCTGTTCACATAAGCCGAAATGTGTGACGACGATTTTATGACATGTATAGGAGCTTATAGGCATTTTGTTTTCGTCAATTGTGATTAGGCTATGTTCAATACGAGTAATCTGTACTCATGGTAATTTTGATGCTAGTAGAGTCGTATCTTTAGTAACTGTATCATATTTTGCATGTTTTGAAATTTCACTGTGGAATATAATGACATAATACCGTTGTCCTCGTACTTGTTTATGAAATAATATAACGCCACATTGTTGTCTTTATCTACGAAGTGACATAACCAGTGACATCATACAGTTGCTATTGACTCCATAGTGATACAGTCGACCGTATCACATAAAAATCAGTCACGTGCCATCTGATACAGAATATGCATCATCACAATTGACCAATCAAAATGCTTAGAAACTCCTAACCATGTGATAAAGCTTCTTTTTTTATTTCTTGTATGTATAAGACATCTGAACTCCTTGATATAAAAACCTCTCACATTCTGTTCAACCATGGTGGTTTTGATGTCCATCTTAGCAATGTTCCTTTATGATAATAAGTCTATTTGTTCTTTCAGATAAAGTGTGCTCGAGAAACTATAGAAGCCACTGGTGACCAGGAACTACAGAAGAAATTCAAAATCTTAGAAGACTCTTTACTTAGTCAAGGACAAGTCAGTATGATGGATTTAGACAGCTATCTGAACAGCCCCATTGTACGTAGGTCTAAGAGTAGGGACAATTATAACTCACGGACAAGATCTGGATACAAGGATCCATCAAAAGATTATAGTTCTTTTGAGTTGTAAATCTCATGTTTTTATTGCCGCAGGGAACAGTGAGTGACTTTTGTGAGTGACCTCTGGAGAGGACTACCTGACTGAACTTCTATAGAAAAATGGACTAAATTGAGCCTGTATACAAAATAACAAGAATTAATCTACAGCTTTTGATATTGGCATCTACGAATGTAACAGATATGATTTTTGAATAAATCATCTTTTAAAGATCTACGATTATTTCAGTATTAGGTGTACACTTTTTCTTTATCAATGGTGTAGCGTCATATACGCAAAGCCATGGCGTACTCTCAAAATTTATCTCAAAGTTTATTTTTTTACATTGTATTGCCCCATGCTTTAAAATGGATAAAATGGCCAATATTTCAATTTATCAGTACATATTAGTCAGAATTTCGTATTTTAAAACGCCTTCGAACGCTTCAAATGTTCTAATGGGGGTAGAAGCCCCCGAACCCCCTCAAAGTTTGTTTGCCTCACTCAATCCTGGCGTACATCACAAAAAACCACGCTACGCCACTGCTTATGAAGTCATAATACCAATATAATAATACTTGTTGCCATGGTGATGAATATTACTTAGAATCTCATTGCACCTAACATTTTATATGCATTTATATATTACCATGGCAACAATTATTGGAAGTAAGTTGAGCGAAAACTCATTTGAGAGTAAATACTTATTAGACATAAATTGAGACTTAAGGCAATATCTGTGACTATGGAGCCAAGAGGACTTACATTTAAGAAAGCAATATCTTTGCAACGCGAAGGCACTACTCAAGTTTAACAATACAGAGAATATTGTAATTATGTTTTATTTGATCACTATATACATGTTATGTACACTTTTTAAATTCACCGGATAGTAAAAAAGTATCCTGAGACACCATGATCTAATGTAGTACCATGTAACCATACTTTAAAGAGATCTGTAAGTACTGTAGATACACTTAATTTGGCAGATTAGCTCAATTTCAAATATTGGTGGCTAATTAATTTGGCGGAGTTAGGACTGATTTCAGATTCATGTGTTCTACTTACAGTAAGTCTACACTAGTGAAATAATTGCGAATTACAAATTCCCTGGGGATTTTCCAAAATAGATCTAAAAATTTGCCAATTTTTCATTTTGCGGATTTTTCAGTCCGTCAACCAGTCAAATTAAAATGGTAGCCAAATTAAGAGTTCTACAGTAATAAGGAATTCCTGCTCTAGGCAGCCATTTTTAATTTTCTGAATCAAACAAACAATACCATGATTGTAATCTACAAGTCCTTCAATTTGAGTATAATATAGCTATATTTGATGAAACACATAGACTTCACTATATCCCTACCGAACTTTGGTCGTTGGGGTAATTAGTATTAACATAGGTCCTAAATATCAGTTCTTTGTATCAGTTATACTCTGTGTTAATTGCGATAAAGATTATGTAAAAATAAGGGCTTGGTTTTGTATTTGTTTCATTAAAACTTTAATCTGCCAAATTAAATAGGTGTCAAGTTACAAAATTGACCAGAAGACTAATTCTAATTAACAAGAAAGTGATAAATATTGAGCAGAATGGCAAACATGTAATTTTCCCAGCATGCCCAAAACTTAATCAGATTTTAAATGAATAACCAGATAAGCTGATTCACTAAATCAGAAGTTAAATGAATACGCAGATTTCAGGGAAGATGAAGATGGAATGATACCCAGGAAGATTCATAAAAAATTCAAAATGGCCATCTTGTGATTGCCAGCAGCATGCCCACCATAACCTAGTAAGATTTTGGCAAGTGTTTTTGAATCTGTAAAAATTGATTGGATAGATCTTTAATAACAAAACAGTATTTGCAGTTTCTTATTTTTGTTACCAGTAGTGTGAAATATAGATTGAATCCTTGCCATTAATTCCTTTAGCTTTTCCTCATTTAAAAAAAACACAAAATTTTATCAGCCATAAATTATTGCCTAATAATAGATTTTTACATAAAATTGGTGCAAAATCACAATAATGTCTGCTGTTGCTGTACACATTCACAACCAAGAAGTTGGAAAAACATTGTCATACATGTATTTGATGAAGGCCAAGGAATGAACAGTAAATAAATTCAGATTCACACATTCAATTTCTTCAAAACCAAGGACATGATAATGTCACCTTAAAGGCCTGTTAAAGACCTTTTATAAGACCATTAGACTGAACCTACTGAACTCATCTTTCTCTTTTTATATCTTAACCTCTTGACTACCTTGAATGACGAGATTTCTCATCACCTCAGATATGACCTTGTAACCCAGAGTGACGAGAAAATCCGTCACAAATTTTTTCACTAAAATTGCTCTTATTTGAACAATTTTCATCCAATTTACACAAAAATTGTCTTAAAATGAGTAGAAATGATCTCTGCCATCTAATTTTACTAGGTTGAGCATCTGAAGTTGTATAGGTATGTAGTATAATGTCAAAAGGTTGCAAAAATGAAAACATCTCTGGTTTCAACCAATTTTAGAGCCTAGGATTCAAGAGGTTAAACAGTTGCATAGTGTGGCTCACTACAATGGTGGAAGAATGGAAATATCTTTCAGGCACTCTCTGAAGCTTCTTTAGCCATACCAGACTCACTTGAAAGGTGAGACTGAGTAATATTTGGAATTACTGTGTAAAAACAACAATTTGTGGTTCCTCAGTGTCACCCTCTTGTATGTATACAGTCTGCCCATCAACCTCTCCCTCTTGAACATAAACCGCATTCACAGGCATTCCAGACTCATCCAACTTATCTCCATCTACTGACTCATAAACTTGGATATAATTATGAATATCTTCACCTTCAACCACTTCACCACTCTCAACGACCTCACCACTCTCAACAACAGTTGCTTCATGACCTGTTTCAATGACAGTGGTATCCTGGTCATTTTGAACAATATAGCGAGTCTCACCAGTCACTTCATTGCTACTTGTTTCCACTTTGCAGCTTTGTTCTTGTAAACCATCCATCTGCGATTCAATGTCCTGAATCTCAGCTGGGATTTCGCTGGAGCTTATTTCAACAAGTTTATATTCATGAGAACTATGATAGATGGCGTTGTGTTGAAGTAATCCAGCAGCAGTTCGAGAAAATATTGGACAATGTTGACAGCGAAATATACCAATGTCATGAGGGGTTTCATCAGGATCCTTGGCAGCCTTATTGGAAAGTTTATAATATTTTGTTTTGTTGTCAACTTTGTAACCAAGATTTATAACTCGAGCTCCACGGTGTCCACTTCCCGGATTAGAAGTTCTGTTATTCACATGTATTTGAGCCTTGGATTTTTGAGCACTAGTAAAATCACAATGTGAACACTTAAATGGTTTAATATTTTCGTGTCCCATGATGTGAAGACGGATACCTGAGTAATGAGAGGAGGAATATTCACAGCGATCGCAAAAATACACCTTTTCTTTAGTATGTGTTCTCTGATGGCGTTTTACGTCACTTTTTGAGATGCCATGATAGTTACATACACTACATTTGAAGTTCCTGATTCCGAGATGGACTTTGATGTGTCTGTCAAAGCCTGTTTTGCAGCCAGTGCTATGACCACATGTAGCACACACATAAGTCTTAAGATGTAAATGTTTATTGTTAGTGTGATTGGTCAATGCCCAACTGTAATTGGTTTTAAAGTTGCATCCCTCGACATCACAGCTCAACTGGTCTCCTGGAATGAATATTTTGTTGTGTTATTTCACGATAATATTTAAAACCTGATTTTTGTTTGTTTTGGACCTACATGTATATTTAATCTAATGTGACATATAACAGTTGCACTGGTTGTATCGAGGCATAATGGACATACAAGTAATATAGGATTTAGCTTTAGCACTCAGAATAGACTGCTCACTAATTGTAATCTGTAAAGGATTAGGACATATAATATGTACCCCACGCTTTGGGGAAATAATGACCATTCAGTCAAATTGATAAATGAATACATATACTATATATCTCTAAGGTAAAGACACACATATCTCTAAGGTAAAGACAATCTATGTAGATTACAATAGCAGGTCCACAAAATCACAATTTTAAAATGATATAAAGAGCTGCTCTAGTTTTGCTGAGTTGAAAAAGTACAGTATCTGAGTATTACCTGTGTGTTTCCTCATGTGTTCTCTAAGAGATTTGGCCTGTCTACAGGCATAATCACAATGATCACACTTCAGTGGGTATGCACCTAAAATATAAACACTATATAATGTAAATGTCTACAGGCATAATCACAATGGTCACACTTCAGTGGGTATGCACCTAAAATATCAACACTATATAGTATAAATGTCTATGAGCACAATGCATTTGATGTCACAAGATAATTCTACCATATACATTGATTTAACCATGGGCTTTCAACTAGAATGATTGTTGATTTAACAAAATACTGAAATTATATAGCCTAGTTGATTTACCATAAAGCAAAATATGGAATTTATGAAAAGCTCAAGTTCCTACCTTCGTGTCTCATCAGATGTGTCGTGAGGTTACGCCTGCTTCCACATCTAAATGGACAATACTGGCATGAGAACGGTTTTGTGTGAAGTTTTTCATGGACCCTAAATAGCCGCCCACTCACTGTTTTGTACTGGCAAACCTGACAAACAAATTCTCCACCATCTTTATGACTGGAGTAATGTCTGCTCATAAAGGCGAGACTTGTTGTTTTATAATTACACGTTGGGGCTGTGCACTTATACTGTTTAACCTCTTTGTTATTCTTCTCTATCATATCGAACTGAAACTCCACATCAACTTGGTTTTTAGGTTCATAATAGTGTGTCCTACGCTGCGGATCTCCAACATTGAACTTCCTAGGTCGACCTCTGCCTTTCTTCCCTGTTCCAACCAACTTTTCATTATACATCTCTTTGACTTTATTTGGAAACTCCTGAAAATACAGATAAATCCAATGACTACAAACAAAATTTTGTACCTGCAGGAATAATCTATGATTGATATCTTATATTTGTAAAGATGTTAAGATTTAAAATGTTGCAATCTGTACATCTGGAAGGACAAATTAGAAAAATGAATGTCTGATAAATGATCTGCTTGATTGCTTGTGACAATTATGGCTTTTTAGAAAGGCATAGCCTTGCCTAAGTCAGTGTCTTTTTATTATTTCTTTAATTTTATTTTCAACTCCTTGAACCTATCACTTTGACACATGCTTTACCAACAGTTTGTTGTTGTTGGTCAACTTTGACCAATCAACAATGGCACTGCAGCGTTAGCTCATTATTTATGCACAGTTGTTTGCTTTAATAAATACTTAATAGTTTCTGTGAATAAATGTTTTTTCGAAAAGTTACCTCAGTATCAGTAGCATCTTCATTATTCTCAGCACCAGCATCAATGTCACTGGAGTCATTATTTGCCCCATCACCAAAATTAGGAGTTGGTAACACTCCACTGGAGTCCAGTTTTACTCTCAATCTCATGTAAGATCCCTTTCTAAGACTGTATTTTGCAGAAGGGGTCTGGATGTCCTTATGTGTTGGAGTATCTTCGATAGTATGGGTCTTATTATTTGGTGGACTGGCACCAATAGAAGGGGTCTTAACATTTGGTGGAGTATCACCAATAGAAGTGGATTCATCATTAGAAGGTGTCTCAATATTAGAACCTTCATTAGAATGTTTTTCATTATCAATTTGGTCTTGCTCTTTCTCCTCTTCTATGACAGTACTAGATGGAATGGCATGTTTTCTTCTCCTTTTAGATGGAGATTGTACCTCACTCTCAGAGCTAATATCCTGTTCAATGGCTTTAACTTCAGATTTTAGGTCCAACAATTTGGGTTTCGTAATTTTTCCTTTTGACGTGCTTTCAGTGCTATTGGTTGGATCAGGAAGAACAGTGCTCTCAGTTGAGCTCTGAAAAACATTTAAAGAGTAGAATGACATGAATTACTTCCCGAAAGTGCAAGCATGTATCCATGATAAAATAGACCTATATTATGTCGATTCTCAGGTGACACCATTTCTGATGTTTATGCCCATACATGTTATTATGAACATTAAGAGCAAGGTAAGGTCAAGGAATCATCAAACTTGTCAATTTTGTACATGTATAAGTAAGAAGAGGTTGATCATTTCTATTGATCATTTTATGATGATATATTATAAACTAAGCTGATATATATGAGCATTGATTTGAAATAGCAAACTAGACAACAGCAACGCCAAAGCGTAGCAAATCCCATCAAACAGCCATGGCTGGTATTTTTACAAACAAAGTATATAGCAAAAATGGCAGAATTTTTACTCCCATAGGGTATACATATACAAAATATGAACAAAATCGGACCAACGGTATTTGAGTTATTGCCCTGCCGGACGGACGGACGAACGTACGGACGGACAGACGGACGGAGCCGTTCCCTATATCCCTCCGAACTTTGTTCAATGGGATAATAAATGATCTCTGAAGTTCATAATTTTTGTTGTCGGGACAAGACATGCTTACTTGTAAAATTCCTGAGTTACTTATGAATAACAGAACTAAGTGAGAATTGGTATTTACCTTAGTGTTGAGTATCTCGAGGTAGACATCTCGTTCAACAATGAAGAACTTACAACCAGAATCCACCGGGTCCCCATAGCAGAGCTTGTTATGGCTTTTAAACTTTGTTATAGTCAGGAAGACTCCTTTACATTTCTGACAGCATCTCAGAGCTTTGTTTCTTAGGTCACCTATAACAGACAAAAAAACAGTGATAAATATTGCACTTTGAAGAGCAAAATGGTTTAGCAATTTAGCTAGCATACCCAAAACCTAATCAGATTTTGGTCTGCTTTTGCATCTGTTAAAATTTCAAGTTGAACAGTTTCGTGATTTTCCTGACAAAATTTGATTTGCCTAACATTTTTGTGACCTAGTTTGATGACCTTTGACCTTGAAAATTTAACCTTTCCAGACCTCAGTAAGTCTTTTGTAACCTGCTCTTGTATCTGTAAAAATATCAACAGGTAAACAGTTTTCCTGGAATTTTAATGACAAGATTTGATTTGTAGTCTCAAACTTTTCAAGGCAAACAATTCGACAGATTGAAACGTAATTAAGATTTTACATGTGAAATTGCAGACATTATACACTCTACTTATAAATGGTAAATATTTATATACTATTAAGGGAGTGATTGTTTGCTTTTTTCCATATCTTACCCATAGCAAAACTGAAACTGTTGTCCTCTAAGCTCTAGATTTCTGGAATGTGTACATAAGTACACAGAATCTTTTGGTTACTGCAGCTGTTGTCCTCCGCATCTAAACACAAAGTTCAAAATTATAAAGAAAATCAATGAGCATTTATAAGAAACTAAGAAGACATCAAGAATTATCAAATTATTCTCAAGGAATAAATAAGCAATGTGTAAAATATTAAATACAAAAGTTGGTCTAGTTTTGAGTTTTGTAATACAACTGAATGTTTAAACAGAAAACCACTAAGAATTTGGTATTTGTTCTTTGCATATGCGCAAAAACCGAACTTGAGAAAAGCGAACGTGATGGGTTTTTGTCCCATGCTCAACTCATCATAAAATATTCTCATCAGTCTATGAGAGTTTAACATTAGGTGAGCACTTTGAGTTAGGTAGAACAGATAGTAGAATTGACCAAATGAAAATCTATCCCACAAATAACCCCCCTCCCCACTCTCTGTGTACCATAGGGAGTATGTCATCCTGCGAGTTTCACTGTATACATAGTTTGACGGGTCCTAGGCTGAACCCTCGGATATCAATATGTTCCCATAAAAGTCTGTCAAATTCCAATGTGTTCCATACTGACCAAAATGACGCCCAAAAACCATACCAATTGTCCAAGTATAAGACCAATGCCATACAAAATGTATAATATAGAACCAACGCCATATCAATACCTATGGTTGGTGCAATGTAGAATATTCTTCAGAAAAGGGGTAGATATAGCCTACAGCCCATTTCACTGTTTTATATTGTCAGTAGAACCCCAAAAATAAGAAATCAGGAGACCATTGTGCAATAATATATGGAAAAGTATATCCATATTGTGCACGAATGACATTTGTATATTTCAATTTATTTAGTTTTATATGCAATAAGCCTTTGCCTTCTTGTAATTTAAAGAATTTCAGCAATTTTAGTCTTTTTGAATATACTATGGCAGAGAAGCATCAAAATATAGGAGGCCATATACTTAAGGCGAAGCTAGATTAAATCAAAGGTACAAAAAATGGCTGCCATATTTTTTTGATAAAGACACATGGTTTTAAAATCTGTTTACCTAAACCTTGTATATACATATTGTATATCTTGTCTAAAGAAACATGTCAAAGTTAACATCACAAATAAATGTATTTTTCATAACTATGAATTGTAGGTGTATGAGCCCCTAAAGCTAACTTGAAAACTGTGAAGTGAGGTTATTTTTGAAAACTTCCAGGATTAGGGGTGCTTCGGTGTCACATTTGTATTACTCCAAAATTTCCACAAATTATCTTACCTCACCAAGGAACATCGAAGGAGCATGAAAATGTGTACTTCTTGCATTGTTAGAGTATAATAAAGCTCAAACCATTTTGAATGTTTGCTAGGACTATTTTTTATTTCAGAGTAATCCTCATTCATGTATCCGTTGTTTATCATTCATAAAGCCTCTATCATGTATCTATCATGATAATTATACTGTAATAGGTAAAATATACAAGTGATAATCCATGCCACTTGGTGTTGTCACAAAACTTGTATGAGGATTAATCAGAAAATCTAGAAGTAGTTCAGGCAAACAAAATGATGGACATGAAATATTTATATTTATAAACTATGGTTTGAGTTTTATTATTCTCCAACAATGCAAGAAATGCACATTTTCATGCTCCTTCGATGTTCCTTGGTAAGGTAAGACGATTTGTGGAAATGTTGGATTCTTGCAAATGTGTGACTGTTGCAAGGCTACTCTTTGAAACTTTCAAAAATTAACCTCACTCCATCGTCTTCATGCTAGCTTTAGGGACCCATGCACCTCCAATTCATGGTTATGAAAAATATGTTAAATATGATGCTTTCTTTGACACGTATCTTTAGTCAGGAAATGCATTCACAGATAAGGAAAACAGATACAAAATCTTGTGACTCTTATAAAAAAAACATGGCTGCCATTTTTTGTACTTTTGATTAACTTTAGTGTTACCTTAATTAGCCAAACTAAAAGCAATCAAAGATATACAGATTTATCCCGTGCCACGGGATAAATACAGATGTCATCTATGAACAATAGGAATATATTTTTCCGTAGGTTTTACTGACGAAATAAAACAATGAAATGGGCTGTAGCTAGATCTATGTCAATAATCTGCAAAAGGCTAATTAGTCCATATAAAGCAGATATATAATTTAACAGTGATAGAATTTGAATAGAATATAATCTAAAACCTTAACATTTAAAAATAGATCTATGGTTTACAACTCATTTTAAAATTGAAAGGAACCTTCCTGGTTGGCCCCTGTCCCCCCCCCTCCCCCCCCCCCCCCTAGGAAGTCCCTTTATGTTAAAATACCCTGGGGCGACTGTCAGGCATACCGCGTTGACATCACCCCTCTTAACCAGTACAGGCTTGTTGCTGTGCACTGGGGACCTTTTGCATTAAAACATAGATCTATATTAAAAACACACCTATTTAATTGCAGTTATCAGTCAGCGGAAATCCAATCTAGTGTCGCTTTGAAAAACGAGTTGTGCATCGCGTTTTTTTGCAAAAAAATTCTTATTTTCGCTGTATTTGCCGAATTAGAAACAAAATGATCAATCCCTTCCACTCCCTCATTTCTACATTATATCTACGCATGCTCGCATATTTAAGGTAACTTATAACTTAATCAATTACTCCAAGATGGCCGAAACCAGGAAGCACATGGCATTTGAGTATAATCTGACCATCAAAATTAACTGTCTTTTGGTTGGATTTTCTCTCAATTTTTTAGTTCCACTTATCATTTATATAACCAGGCTCACTGTGGTAATGCAAATAGAAACAGTAAACATTTTGGAATGGGAATTTGAGTCCTCTGAAAATGTGACAGAAAAATTGACAAAAAGAGTAGCACGGCAAAGGTCCCTGAACATTTTTTTTCTTATTTCTCTGAAACATCCCTTTAATATAGCCTAAAATGGAAGGAGCTTTAGAATTTTGAAATCTCTCATACAAATTTAAAAAAATAGAAAAAAACTATTTGAGAAGTGTACTTTTTTCCTTATTTTGATCCCAATTTTTTTATCGGGTAATTTTTCAAATTTCCGTTGCTCCTTCGTTTTTGATATATGTTTGAAGTATATTTTCTGAAATGTTCAGATATTTTGAATCAGCGGTTTTTCACGGGCTACTCCTAGAAAAAAATCTTCTCAAATTCTTTAAACGGCACTTTTTTTCTCAAACTAAAGTTTTTTGTGGTTCTTTGATGTCTTTGTAATGATTACAGTGCACAAGCATATGTGAAATAATAAAAACGACTTCTCAGGGAGAGTTTGAAAATTTCAAGATTGTGAAATTTTCAATTTTTTCTGAAAATCAATTAAGTTAACAGTCACCTTAATTATAACAAAAAAATTAAATGGCTCCCGACAGCGAATTGTCAACTCGTGAGTTTTTCAGCTAATTTCTACATTTTTCGAAATGAATTTTGTAATATGCATAGTGTCGAGTGGTAGAATGATGTTTTAAGATACTGAATGTGTTGTTTTTTTTCGAGGGGAATGCGCAGGAGCTTGAATCTGAAGGAAAGACACCAGGTCATAACATCCTAAAATATGAAAATAAAAATGGCTAACATCTGTGAAAACGACGTGAGATGACCTTGAGATGAGGCGACAATTGTCTGTCATGTTAGCATGCTACACATCTAGGCTCATCTGTGTACATCATTATTTGCGACACTTACAGTTCGCATACCAGGCGACACTTAAGTGGATTACCACTGACTGGTTATTGACATAGGCATAGTATGACTGATGATGATTTAAAAAAAACTACTTAGATCTAATTTTCTAACTGAAGAAGGCCCCAAGAAGAAAACAGATCTTTGAGTGAAATTATCCAAACAACAACAACAAAAGGGGGTCAATTCAACTCTATGATCCAGTGCTTATGCACTAACATTAGTTCTTCAATAGAAGAGGAAATCAATTTCATTTTCAAATTGAATTTGATTTTTTGAAGACAAAATTATTTCGGATAGCTCAGTTCTCCTCGAATATCAACCAATATTGACAGACCAGACGTTCTAAAACACACCTCAACTATCCATGAATCATTAAATAACCCTCATGCATACCGCAGTGTAAAATTAGATCATAATATGTCAGAAAATTAACAAATCTTACCAATTTTCAAATATTTTGTCCGGAAATGGCGGATCCAGACAACTCTCTATTATCGCCCAGGAGCATCCCGATTTTGATTTTCACCAATCTCCCTGCAACTCGTTCAATGAAATCGTGCACCTTCCTTCTCTCTGGCGGATGTAGGCTATTGTTATGACTCAAGGGAACAGACACAATCATAAAAAACCATAACAGTTATTTACATACATAATTAATTATTAACCCTGTACTGCCTGAACCTATGACCCTTCTTGCACTATGACATTGAATATTCATTTTACTTACCGTTGACCTAACATCTTAAACATTCATAAGGCACTGGCCATTTACAATAAAATATATAAGGAACCAAATGTTGTAATCACTTTTTGGTGATTACAATCTTGTTTCCTACTCGAAATACTTATCAACCAACTCAGGATTTAAATCAATAAATAATTTCTATCTCTTTATTTATCTTTTTATTTCGTTGTAAAATTAATGTGATATCAATATACAGATTAGATCCCTGTACTGCCTGGCTACCTCGAGAACTCTCTAGAGACCAGTTCCCGTTCCTTATATATTTTATTGTAAATGGCCAGTGCCTTATGAATGTTTAAGATGTTAGGTCAACGGTAAGTAAAATGAATATTCAATGTCATAGTGCAAGAAGGGTCATAGGTTCAGGCAGTACAGGGTTAATAATTAATTATGTATGTAAATAACTGTTATGGTTTTTTATGATTGTGTCTGTTCCCTTGAGTCATAACATACGCCCCCCCGTTGGTGGCACACGGCCCCGTGTGCAAGGAGCGCATGAGATGACCCAAGAGAGGTGGACACCTATGGTATTAAATGGAATGTGACCGGTAATAGTATATATATATGAAATGGATGTATAGTTTTAGAGACATTCCATAATTACAGCTTATTCATCTTGCGAATAAGTTGTTATTTTTTTATTCCATTGAATAAACCATGGGCCAAGATGATTGGAACAAATTTCCAGACAAAGTTGGCGTGTTAATAGGTTTGGATTCAGAAGAAAATACTGGGCTCGGGTGCAGCCATCTTTATATAAGCTAAGCCCCGTGGGATATTCAATGGTATAACCTTACGGAATATTAGACAGCATGTACCTCTGGTAATATACAAATAAAATACAATGGATATATATATATATATATAGCAACAGTAAAATGTGTGAACACTATCATTGAGCATTAGTAAAGTATGCGAACTCTATTATTGAGCAACAGTAAAGTATGTGAACACTATTATTAGATAACAGTAAGGTATGTGAACACTGTAATTGAGCAACAGTAAAGTATGTGAACACTATTATTGAATAACAGTAAAGTATGTGAACTCTATTATTGAGTAACAGTAAAGTATGTGAACACTGTTATTGAGCAATAGTAAAGTATGTGAATACTATTATTGAAAACTAGCCCCCGTGATGCAACAGAAATAATTGCAGATTAGAATAGTCCATTGAGCAGTTCTGGAATAATTGATAGCCAGTACTAGGGATAGTGGTCTGCGTATATGTTACCCATGATGGCAAATGAGTAAAGTTCTAGTTGACACAGTATTTGGACCGGAACGGTGTGGTAATGGGGATAGGACGACAGTCACTCGCCAGATGGATAGCGTCGAGCTCGGAATGCACAACGACGTAAGTGTCAGAGATCCGTATAACTAGTTGTGGCAGAGGATGTAAGTTGTCGGACGGCTGTGTGGCGTATAACTGGATGATCGTTGGTTATACACACTGGACATTACGAATTGTCCTAGTATTGTTCATGGATTTACGCCTGGATATAATGTTCATTATGGGATATCACTGAGAGACTCCTGCGTGTCGTACAGCGTGGTGGTCGAGGGCTGTACATACGATAAACGCAATTGATCCGGGATTGATCCTTAGGCGTATTCTGGACTGAGTACATTGATATATATAGTAGTTCTTACAGCCGTGCCCTGCACAATAAATTTGTAGTGTCGTATATAAATATAATAGTTCTTACGACCGTGCCCTGCACAATAAATTCGTAGTGTCGTTGATATATATAAAGTTCTTACAACCGTGTCCTGCACAATAAATTTGTCGAGTCGTTCATCACGCATATCATGCGTAAATTGTAGAAGATAACGTTTATAGAGTTCGGTTGGAGTTCAGGAAAAGGCACGTTCATGCACGATGATGGTCTGTCGTGCTAGCCCGGAAATCGCTCCTTCCTGAAGGCGTTATGTGTCCTGATTGCAAGCCGGTGTTTGAGGGTAATGGCCGTTAATATATTGCATCACTGAGCACAATGTCTGTATGGTGCACACCCGGTGCCCTGAACATTCGGTGATTTCAAATGTTGTAGTTGGTGTTTAAGAGGGTAATAGGCTACCAAGTGATAATTGGCTACTCATAGATTGGACCATGATACTGAAGAAGTGGAATAATAGCATGCTCCTAAGTTGCATCACGTGGCATAATGTAAATGATGATACGACCACGTCGAATAATTTCAGAATAGACTGACTTACGTACAGTTCACATATGGAACCCTTAAGAGATGGCATGAGGTTAGATTAGATTTAATACCGCCTAACGTATTATATGATAACTTGTTGCTGCCGAATGGAGTGACAATTTAGATTAACAGTATGCACAAACGGCAAACAAATTCAACGATAGGAGAATCACGAGAATCACTAAAAGAGAATAAACAATTTCTGTTAAGGGTACTGGTGTTCATAACTAGAAGCCCAGAATGCTTGAAATATAATAAGCTATGGTTGTCGTGCACTCTGATAAACTCATGATTGTGGAGACATAAGGTACATAAACTGAGCATGAAGTGAAGATATAGTACGTTAAGTAGTGAAAATATGAGTTTCAACTCGTTTCCTGTTGCATTAAAACTCGTAATATATATGTTAGTTCTGTATGTACAATAATATGTAAATATAGTTCGTATGCTTAAGTTAACTTACATTATGGCTCTGAGCTGAATCTCAAAGCATGAACTAAAGTACGAATATGGTGTTCCCACCGCGTATGGCCCCGTTGACTGATTGGCTGTAATTATAAAATAATCAGACGTGGTGGGAAGACCAAGCCGAACTAATAGTTGATTCATTTGTAATCCCATTTTGCAATAATGGGCGTGTGGTACAGTATTACCAGATAATAATTTGCCGTGGGGCCTGCAACTGCCCGACACAAAAAATGAAGCAAGAGTCAGGTGTATATATATTGCCCCTTGTTGGTTCCGAAAGCATGAACTGCAGTGGCACTATTTTATAACGTAATATGGTTGAAGAAATTTCGATATTCGAACCGGTAAATTATGGAGCGTTTGACCTGAGTCTTGTTTCCAGTAAGGCAAATTATGGAATCTAATGTAAAGCAAATTTGTCCAGAGCCAGCAAATGAGAAGTGAGATAACGGGTCAGGAAGAACGGAATAAGAGTATCTAGAATGGTCAATATAAAATCGCTTTAGTGTAACAATTTGATACTAGGGAATTCCACAGGGGACCAACATAAGCCATTGAAAAATAAGAATATCGGAATTGATCCTGGAAAATATACGGGAGATGAACATCACGATGTATGGGGTGTGTCAGACACATTGTAACAAATACTTATGAACAGAATAGTTCGGGTCGGAACTTTCTAACAGTGCATAATTTCGGCTCTGGACTGTGTAAGTTTTGAAGAGACACGCGATAAGTTGTACTTATCGAGTGCGGTATAAGTATAGCACATTGTAAAGGTGATAACAACGCGAATTGGTGGGTGTAACAGTACATAGGTCAGATGAATTTATCCTATTTGATTTAATTTAAGCAGTAAGAACAGTGTAAAGTAGCGAAGGATCAACTATACGTTGCATTGAAGTACAAATGAAGCTAGAATGAATATAAAGAGTTGTGTTCCTGAAAGAGCGGCGAACAATTTCCAGAGGAGGCCCTATTGTCTGATTAATGTCAAAGAAGAAAGTGAGTCGTAAGTAGAACGTAAACATCAGGAAGTACAGGTCAAAATGGCCCTCGGTAATATTCGTAGCTATTTATGACCGGTTTAGCGAATGTATCTCAGGAAGTAAGGGGCATCATTAAACTGGATTTGATAGGTTTTATGCATGAAAACTGGAATGGTATAAGCTGTGTAATGCAATGCAAATTGGGATGATTAATTTTAATTTTGAGGGGTGACTTGAAAAATTCATTGACGTGATTATGCATGATTTCTATGACGATGTTGAACTGATTACTTTTTGGGAGATTGGGCCATATGACTGTAGGGTTTGTGAAGTTAAGTGAATTTATGCAGACGGGAAAATAGAAAACATGGTGATGTACCGGCAGTCCTCACAGTACAGTGCCTGGTAGTTGGTACCAGGGTGTACTGCGAAGAGTACCGCCGTCTGCGTTTGTCCAGGGGTTGGGGCCGCGTCGGTTATTACCCGTTGACGAATTGTGGGGTTTGTGCACAAAGTGCACATTGCACTCACTCTCGTCCCTGGGGTTCCGAAGGGGATGGAGATAGTGGGGGTACTATCCCACGCACCATCGATTGGTATACGGTTTGTGGCCTCCAGGGACGAGTCCAGGTCCCTCATCAGCTCGTCCAATGGGTCTAGTGAGGTAACTGACCCCAGCTCAAGAAGTTGTACCGCCGCTTCTTGGTCGTTCTGCTGTGTTAGTTTTAGATCATCTCTTATCGCCTCTTGGTTAAGGATAGGAGGGCCATCTGATGTTGAGGCCCACTGAGTGGCTCCCTGGTTAACTGTCGTAAAAGCCTCGAGGATGGGAGGGTTATCTGATGTTGAAGGTGCTGGCCACAGCTCGGGCAACTCAACTTGAGATGTCTGATTTTCGTCTTGGGATTGTAGCTGGGCGAGCTCGTCCCAGACTTCCTCGGGCAAAGCAGCATTCAGTATTGTGCACTGTAAAGAGAATAAACCATGTGAACGACTTTTATTTTAGTTTGATATATAAATATGTTCACTTGAAACGGGGCATGAAATGTGTTGTTTCGGCATTATGTTGTAG